GAGGGGTGGGGGGAGCACCTGGCCCAGCCCCTGCCAGGCTCTGCCCCTGGTTCCTGGGGACCAGACCCCCAGGCTCTGTGGGTTGAGTCATGCTGGGCTGGGCTGGGCCAAGCCAGGCCAGGAAGCTCAGCTCCACCTGCTCGTCCCCACCCCAGTCATGTCTGCAGCTGTGAAAGATGAGGGTTTGGTCACAAAATGCTTCAACCCCAGATGCAGCCCTCCAAGGAACTCATTAGGCCTTTTATTTCAGAAAAAAGTGAAAAAGGAAATAACTTCTGCATAATGCTCTAAATATCAATAAAATTTGGTTACTGCTGGAGGGGGCCTCATGAATCACTGGGTCCCTTCCCCTGTAGTCTCAGGTAACTGTTTATCCAAGGAGCCCCAAAATCTCCATTTCAAATCATCACACACAAGCAGCAAAGCATAATTTCCAAAGCACCATGAACAGCTTATAAAAGGCCATAGGTAAAAGCAGAAGACACAAGGGAATTGTCAACACAGTGTCATTGCAACAACAAGGAATATATATTCAATTTAAGTGCTCATAGCTGAGAGAAATCAGCTCCAAATGTCAAAATCTTGGGGCTGTAGAGGAAGTTTCCTACCAGATTGTAAATGTCATAGAATCATAGAAGTCGGGTCGGAAGGGACCTTGTAGATATTCAAGTCCGACCCCTGCCTGGGCAGGAGAAAAACTGGGCTCAGACGACTCCAGCCAGGTAGGCATCAAGCCTCTTCTTAAAGACCCCCGGGGTAGGAGCCAGCATCACTTCCCTTGGAAGTTGGTTCCAGATCCTAGCCGCCCTGACTGTGAAGTAGTTCTTACAGATGTCTAATCTAAACCTACTTGCCAACAACTTGTGGCCATTATTCCTTGTTAGGCCAGCGGGCGCTAGGGGAAACAAGGTCTCTCCCAAACCCTTCTGGTCCCCCTAGTGAGTTTATAGGCTGTCACGAGGTCCCCCCTCAGCCTTCTCTTGTGAAGGCTGAACAGGTTCAGGTCCCACAGTCTCTCACTGTAGGGCCTGCCCTGTTGTCCCCAGATCATGCGGGTGGCCCTCCTCTGGACCCTCTCAATGTTGTCCACATCCCTCCTGAAGTGGGGCACAC